GACTAACAATAACAACAGCTTTTTGACAAGTTTAAAATTTCTTTAAGATACATTCAAAATGTAAAAAAATAAATTACAAGAATTAATTTAAAGTGCAAATTAAAATATAGTTGTATCTGCAACTGTGATAATGTTTTGAACTTTTAAAATATTGCATGGTAAAAACAGAAGCTGCTCTTCATATTAGTGACAAACTTTGGTGTTTTTTGACGAGTTACTTTCATTTTTGCTTCTACTTTTCATTTAAAATAAGTTTCCATTTTCGGCATGTTTCTAAGTTCTTCTTCTACATATTATAAAAGTTGTTAAACATCTGAGTGGTGCACTACTGCTACTAGCGGTGAGAAAGTGTATTGCACCTTATTCAAAATCAATGTGGTCCCACGGCCCCCTGCGGCCCAAAGTTAAAAATTATTGTTCTTTTGAGGCCCTCAAGGTGGCGCTCACGGCCCACAATTGGGCTGCGGCCCATAGGTCAACAATCTCTGTTCTAAAGTACAGAGTGATCAGCTGGTGATATTATTATCAGCTAGAATAACATGATCACATCAGAAGATTATTGGGTGTTTTTATTAAAGTATAAAACGATTGCATTCTAACACATAATGAGAGTAGATTTTTTATTATCGGAATATTTTAAGCATAAAACAAAGCTTGGTTCATGTTTGAAAACTTTAATAATCAGATGATGACACTGTTGACTCACAATCTCTGATGAAACCAGACCAGATCTGTTATTTAATGATCACATTTCATGATATTTTCTGACTTTTTAAAGCTGACTGACTTCAGCAGGTAATAAAAAACCTAATGTTTAATCCATCTTCAGGTGATGCAGGAGCTGATGAGAGTCAGGGTCAGCAGCAGGTAGGGACAGAGTTCTGTGGCTCAGGTGAGTGGTGGTGATGATGATGATGATGATGATGATGAAGGTGCTGCTGGGAAATTATGAATGAAATCTAAAATCTTTACTCAAATCAGTATTTATTTTGAGTCCACTCTAAACAGTTGTGTATAGTTTAGGAAATACATTACTGATTTAAAGGCATAATCTACAGCATGTTTAAACTGAATTTATTATATTTTGAATAGTATAAAAATTTCGTGCTTATTAAAATTTTCACTTTAATTAGTAAGTAGGAAGTGTTAGATAATGAGGTGGTACCAGGGTCGGAAGGAACCTGTAGACCTTTTTTTGCTTTAATAATTACGTGCAGATTGACAAAATTGACAAATGTTTTTTGTTTTATTTTATTTTTTGTCACCATAACACAGTGTCATTTTGTGTTCTGAAAGCTGCATGACACCCTGTTCCTTTTGGTTATGAGTAGACCTATCACTAAATCGTAAAAAGTGAAATGCCCCTCTAAATTGTTGGTGGTTATCAATATTGCACCTGTTCACTGGGTAAAGTTATTATTAGTTTTAAACATGCAGTTAAAGGTCATTTGGCACTTTGGCTACGTTCACACTGCAGGTCTTAATGCTCAGTTCCGATTTTTTGAAAAAATCCGATCTTTTTGTGTGAACGTTCACATTACATTTTAAATGTGACCTGCATCAGACCCCTGTGTGAACGCTCCACAGCACTGATGTGACACGCATGCGCAGTAAAAGTCTCATCAGCTGGCTTGTTTGTTTACAGAGCTAGCATGGATGCTACATTTTGCGCATCGAATCAGAAGTTGTTGTTTAATCAGAGCCGATTAAATAATTATCTGACCTGCTTGTTTAGTCAGTGTTTATATCTGAAGCTGCCTCTGACCGGGATGCTCCAGTGAAGCTTTTTTTTAATGAAACTAGG